CCCTCCCGCTTTAGATGTTCTTACCATATCAATAGTGACTTCTCCCACAACTTTGCTGCCATGTTTTTGACGAAATTCTCGTACTTCCTCAGAATGTTTTAGGATTAAAGGACGCAATTCATCTTTGAGGTCCTAGGGAGAAAATATTTATGATGACTTGGTTGAGTTCACGTTATTACATTATCTCGAAATTTGACGATGTGCACAGGGGTTAACAACACGGTAAACCGAGCTCTGTTGACGGATAGATTTTTTTATAACCAGACTACTGATTTCAAAACAATTCTATCCACAGGCTCATGACAATTGTCAGCAGACTATTTATTTTTTCATTTGTTCACAGGGATTAGTTGTGGACGAGTGTCAGACTATATGTCAACAAGAGGAACTATTATGTGATTGCTGTTATATCAACAGAAATTTTATTGGTGCTGACTAGGTCGTGTTAGTGATAACGGAAAACTATGGTAGTGTTTACGCCTGAGTAAATGTGTCAGCGAGGGCACAATAACCATCGCCGATAATGTCAGGCTAACTGCATTTACAAACAAATGTCCATATTATGCAAATGTGAACTTTCATGATTTCCTTGTACCACATACTGATAGTTCCGAGACTGGTGACACATAAAGTGAACAGTCTACAGTAGACAACATAAAGTCCTTTTTTGGCATCTATAGCTGAAAAAGTTTCCCTTGGAAAGAACACGCAGGCATTTAGCAGCAAATAAAATACAACTATGGCCACTGATGCCAGTACAGTATAGTCAGCTTGGTTACTGCACACATTTTCTGAAGAGTACCATATCTCATACAGATTATGAATCTATATTCTGAATGATTTTGAAATCTGCTGTATTCTACAGTTGCAAAGTTACAGCATTGATGCTTTTATCAGGGGGAGGATTCTTCTCCTCTCGGGGGTCCTCCACACGTGCCAGGGGGGAATCTCGTCTCGTCTCTCTATCGTGTCCCCTTGAGGTACGGGATCGGGAAAGTCACTTTAACTTTACAGTCAAATAAGACACACACAGCGAAATACGGTCTTACACAGCGCCCTGGGGAAAAATCCCCAAGACTATCGCAAGGCTGACCCAAGACTCTCTTAGACTGCGTCAACACTCGCCCCAAGGCTCTCCAGGACTGGACTTGTCCTGGTCTACTCACCAAGACCAACTAAAACTCTCTTTATTCATTTTCAAAACTCTAACCAATTACAAAGCAGTAAAAAGACTCTAGGGCGTAACCTTCAATCATAAAGCCAATCACACTAAGTACTGAATACGTCATATCTTTTGATTAATCGTTCACTACATTAATA